ATAAACAATTAATCTGAATGATGATAATGACAACAACAATAACAATATATTATTCATGAATGCCTATGGTTACCAGAAACCAACTAGTTATTTGACACACCTGATTTAAATGTCACATTAACCTTATAAGGTAGGCATACTCATTTTCCAGAACAGAAGTTAATCCATCAAGGTAATTAGTAATTAGAGTTAATTATTTTTAATTATTAACAGAGTTAGTAATTAAAAATCAACCCAAGGTCTATTTGACTCCAAAGTCTGATTTTTTTCCCACTATGACTTATTGCTTTCCTGATCTTAACAAATATTAAAAAACAGTTGTGAGGTGGGGGTATAGTTCAGAGGTACAGCATGTTATCATGTGTGAGGTTCTGGATTCAATCCCCAACACCAAAGAAATAAAAAATAAACAAAATCCAGTCATATATTAGGAAATGCCCCATATGTCATTCTAGTTTAATTGTTCTATGGGACTTCCATATTTAAGTAGACATACTGGACATGCTAGTGATCTAGCAATATACAAAAGTTAACTGAGGATTATTTTTTTATAGTGGAGTTTGGACAATTTTAATAGCCCAAATGTACTCTCCAAAAGAAAATACTATAATTACTTTACTTTATCATCCCTTACAGATTGGTAATTGTTAAACTGATGTTTATACTATTGTGATTAACTGTAGGGACACTAGAATCAGACTGTCTGGGTTTGATTCTAGCTGTACCACTTGCTAGCTATGTGAGTGCATTACAAGTTACTTAAAGTACTGTGTCTTAATTTTCTCATTTCACTGAGTCAGTGTAAAACAATTGTTTGCTTAGAATAGTGCCCAATACAAAACAAATAACACTTATTTATCATTAATTCAATTAGGTTAGTCAATACAATAATAAAAATCTCACTATGAGAATATGAGTAGGGTTACCTAAGCCATTAGGAATATTAATGGCCTTACCAAAGAAGCTTAGAGATTTTATATGCAATGCCTATTTTATTTATTAAAATTTTACACTGTCAGAAGAACCATCCTTTTTTAGCTTTCTAAGCTTTACATCTTTCCATTCTCTCTACCTACATTTTCCATATTACTACCCAAAACTCAGGTTGCTAAAACTCTGCTTTCACTGTCACTGTTTCTGCTTAAGAATCTGTAAAAGCTCTATACAAACCATCATATGAAATTCTAATTTCCTTGGCCTGTTTTTTAAAATTCTCTGAAAAGCAAGCAGTCTCTTTGCATAATTTCATTTCCCACTAATCCTCCAGTCTACTTTAGCCTCCTCTTTTAATACTGGGAAGTTTACTATTTTCTACTTTCTTACAAGACATGCCCATTCCTGGTGCTTCCTTGCCTTCATTTAGGCTGATATCAATCCCTCTTTCACTTAAGATATTTTCCACCCTTCTCTTCCTAGCACCTAAACAGCATACGTTATCCATAGACTCTGTCATTCATTTAGTTATTTGATGAACATCTACCAGCTTTTCCTACATGAATTGTGGTGTTCTAGATATAAAGGATTCAGGACCATTAAAAATTTAAGGATATTTCTTCTTTCTCTGAATCTTTAAGGAATATTTCTTGCAAGATATTTCTCATATTCTGTTTCATGTTTTCATTCAACATGTATTTCTTACACACCTACTCTGTACTAGGGAGCCTGCTAATGATACCAGTGGTAAATAAGACAGACATAGTACCTCATGGAACTATAAAGAGAAACAGTCATCAAGGAATTACAAATGTACTATTACCAACAGTAAGTGTAGAATTCTAGAAATGGATATAATAGGAGTGTTACCGTAGTTAGGAGTTAAATGAAGGACTACCAGAGAAAATGACATTTAAGCTGACAACTGAATAACGAGTGGGGGTTAGGCAGGTAAGAGAAGTATGTGTCAACAAGGAAGCAGCTTGTACAAAAGCCATGAAGCAAAAGCTAGTATACATAGGCAAAGAAAAATAAAAAACAACAACTATGGAAAATAAGTAAAGAAAAATGTATGAGAAGTGAAATATTGTGGTGATTAAGAGAAATAACGTACAGATGCTCCTCAACTCAGGAGGGGGTTACATTAGATAAACCCATTATAAGTTGAATATATCATTAAGTAAAAAATGCATTTAATATACCTAACTTACAAAATATCAAAGCTTAGCCCAGCCTACCTTAAACTTCTCAGAGTACTTGTATTAGCCTATGGTTGAACAGAATCATCTAATACAAAGCCTATCTTATAATAAAGTATGGAATATCTCATATAATTTATTGGGAATACCTGTATCCAGAAAATGCTGGCAACACAAGACACTATAGAGCTTTGGTTGCTTACCCTCATGATCTAGGAGTCTGACTGGGGGGGTTGGCTCACTACCACTGCCCCTCATTGAGAGAATACACTGCAATTCCAAACCCAGAAAAAGATCAAAATTCACAGTACAGTTTCTACTGAATGCATATCACTTTGGTACCGCCATAGTGTCAAAAAATTCTAAGTTGAACCATTATAAGTTGGGAACAAACTGCAAAAGAAAATTACTTTTTCAACTATAAAGTGGAATTACTGGACATACATAAGTCAACTGTCCAAGATTATAAAAGATAAACCTATGTTGAGATGAAATGAAAACTGAATGGGAAGGGAAATCAGTCTGCTAAATCAGGCAAGAAAAATAATAAATTAAATTAACTGAATATGAAATATAAGAAATGATAACTGATATAGTTATTACTTTGGAAAAAGGATTCTTGAACCAGCATACCAAAACTGAAACTGCAGAGTTCAGATAAAACAGTAAGATGAAGGATAGCCATTGTGATAAACATGTTCAGTTGGGACTGAAAAAAAAATCTGGGAGCCTCATTGCTTTTCAATTTCTAAACATATAGTATCACCTTGCAAACATCAAGGACAGCAAAGTATACTATTCACTTGGGGATGACATCCTATCATCCTACTATTAGTAAGCTCCCAGAGGATATAGGCATAATTCTTGCTCATCTTTGCATTCCATATCACAAAATATATTTCATCAGTGTTTGTGAAACAGATGATAAAACTTCAAATGTGAGAAATAAAACAAGTTTTCAAAGCACAGTCTCCTTTTACACTCTTTACGCACAAATTATTCATAAATAATTCCCTTTAAAGGTTTGACTCCACGGGCTGGGGCTGGGGCTCAGTGGCTAAGTGTTCGCCTCACATGTGTGAGGCACTGAGTTCGAGCCCCAGCACCACACACAAAAATAAATAAATAAAACAAAGATGTTTGACTCTACACAGTCTATTCTATTATTCTTCAATATTCTAAGGTAGGATTACCTAACTGCTTAAGGATGGTAACTGTACCTCAGAAAAAGTTAAGCACATGCTCTATTATTTTCTGATGTTCTGAAAAAATAAACAAGCAAACACACACATGAAATGTCACAGGTAAAGGCTTTCTTCACATAGGTCCTTTTAATAATAATGCTGAGCCCTGAGCTCACAAGCCAGGAAGACATGTGTGACTTTAAGTACATATCAAGTACAAAGTGTTTACTAGATATATGAATGATTAAGTGATTATAAGCCTGAATGAAGAAGGAAAATAGGAAAGAAAAAGAGGGAGGAAATTATAATACACTATAAAATCTAAAAAATAGTAGAAGAAGGGGTTACTGATGTAGCTCAGTGGTATAGTCTTGTCTAGCATGTGTGAGGCTCTGGTTTTGTAATCCCACCATAGCAAACAATAATGATGATAATAAATAATAACAAATCTTTAAGAAGTAGTAGTAGAAGAAGTGATTGGGAAGTTATCACTCTGCCTAATGAAAGAATAAACATGAACCACTGTTATATCAAACTATTAAAATTTTTCTTTAAAATAATAACCCAATGGTTGGGCTAGGAGTGAAGTTCGGTGGTAAAGTGCTTGCTCAGTATGTACAAGACCCTGGGTTTAAACCCTAACACCAAACAAAACAACACAGCAACCCCAGTGGCATTTAAGAACTGATTTAAAATTTTTTATTTAATTAAAAAAATACTTCATATGCAAAGTCGGCTTTGTATAAATCTGCTAATGTGTGTATAGTATATACAATATTATTTTGTTTGTTTTTTGGTACTGGTGATTAAGCCCAAGGTTGCCTTACCATACAGCTGCATGCCTAGTCCTTTGTACTTTTTATTTTGAGACAGGGACTCACTAAATTTCTGAGGCAGGCCTCAAACTTCCGATTCTCCTGCTTCAGCTTCCAAGTCATTGGGATTACAGGCCTTCCTGGCCAATATGATTTTAGTTACAAAATATAGCTTAATTCATTAAAAGGTATTTTGGGACTTAACATTGAGCTGCGCTTGAACATTAAGGACAGTAAAAAAAAAATAACAGCCAGGTGCAGTGGTGCATGCCTATAATCCCAGTGGATCAGAAGGCTGAGCCAGGAGGATGACAAGTTCAAAGCCAGCCTCAACAACTTAGTGAGACCCTGACTCAAAATAAAAAATAAAAAGGGCTGGGGATGTGTCTCAGTGGTTAAGTTACCCTGGGTTCAATTCCTGGTACCAAAAATTAAATAAATAAATAAATAAAATTTAACACACACACACACACACACACGCAGTTAAAAGGGGAACATGAAAAAAAAAATCCCACCACTAAAACTTCAGACATACAGTGAATTTTATGATTTTTAATCAAAATGCAAATCTGTTATTATCTCAGCATCAATTAAAAGGTCAAAAGACATAACTAAAAAAGTTATACCACCTTTCTGTAATGAAATTCCACAGTTGAGCTAAGTCACACAATATTATTAACTGATTTCATTGTCAATTAAAAGTAAAATTTAGGGGTTGGGGTTGTGGCTCAGTGGTAGAGCATTTGCCTAGCATTGTGAGGTACTGGGTTTGATTCTCAGCACCACATATAAATAAATGAATAAAATAAAGGTCCATCAACATCTAAATAAAATTAAGAAAAAAAATTTACCTTTATTATAAATCTTACCTCATTGTATCTGTTGCTGGGAATTTTGATGCTTGTTTTCCGAACTTCCATATCCACCACCAAACCTTGAACTACTGGCAAAGTATATTGGTAATTTCTAAAGTCCTGGGCAAAAGAAGATTAAAGTAAAATAAAAAATTCATCAATAGTAGGATTTGATTTACAATAATAAAGTTAGCATGAATAGAAGGAATGTCAGACAGATCCTATTTATTGGTGTGGGGTTGTGGCTCAGTGGTAGAGCACTCGCCTAGAATGCGTGAGCCACTGGGTTTAATCCTCAGCACCACATAAAATTAAGGATATTGTGTCTACCTAAAAAATAAATGTTTTTTTTTTAAAGATCCTATTTATTTAAATAAATAAATGTATAAGGAAAGCCCTACTGGATGTATTCTAGCTCTCTAATTAGACTGTAAATTCTTATAAGGAAGTAAACCAAATAATTTCCTATACCCCTTATATACAACATTAAACAAATACTTGAATGCTTACTCTGCTTTATGATCATTTACCATTTTCTATATTTACCTGTTAAAGATCAGTCTCCTCTCTTTAAGGTAATCTCCAAAAGGGCAGTGAATCTCACTTATTTTGTTCTCACTAGATCCCTAATGCCAGAAGCACCTTAGATACTCAATGAGTATTTGTAAGGAAACATGCACATATATACACCCCCATTCCATGTGGCTGAAGCAAAATGAACAAACATGGTAGGAGTCAAGGCCAAAGTGATAGTACACTGCTAGGTTTCATAGGTTCTTATAGGTCATCACAAAGACTTTTGACTTTGCCTTAAGGAAGTTTTGATCTGTTTTAACAGATCTGACTTTTCTATAAAGAATAAGTGTTGAGGGGTGGGGTTGTGGCTCAGCGGTAGAGCGCTCGCCTAGCACGTGCAAGACCCTGGGTCCGATCCTAAGCACCAAATAAAAATAAATAAGCAAAATAAAAGTATTGTGTACAACTAAAAAAGAAAAGAAAAGAATAGGTGGTGAGTGCCTGGCGTGGTGGCACATGCCTGTAATCCCAGCAGCTTGGGAGGCTGAGACAGGAGGATTCAGAATTCAAAGCCAGCCTCAGCAATGGTGAGATGCTAAGCAACTCAGTGAGACCCTGGTGCTAAATAAAATACAAAATAGGGATGGGGATGTGACTCAGTGGTCGAGTGCCTGAGTTCAATCCCCAGTATCATCCCCCACCCCCCCACCCCCCCAAAAAAAAAAAAAAACAGGTGGTGAGTTAGCAAGTGTAAAAGAAAAGCAATGAGATAAACACAATAAAACATCTGGGTAAGAAGTAGTGAAAACTTAAACCAGTATGTTAATAGTTCAAATAGTGGTGATAAATTGTTAGATTCTAGATAAAGTCTGAAGGGAAAACCAACAATATTTGCCACTGGATTGGCTGTAGAATGTGAAAAAGGACAAGAGTTTTAAAATAATTCTAAATTTCATGGTCAGGGCTACCTGGAGAATAGAATTGCTCTTTTTTTTTGAAATGTAGAATATAATGGGGAAGGGAGAGTGTTTCTAAGTAACTTTACTGTATTACTTACAACAGAGATAAAGAACATTGATAGGAACACAAAAATATCCAACACCTACAAGGTAAAATTATAATGTCTGCATTCAGTGAAAAATACCAAGCAAAGAATCAGAAAAACAAATCAAAATCACAAAGCAATGCAAAACAAAATATTCCATGGAAACTAAGCTAGAACTGATATAAGATGTTAGAATTACCAGTCAGGACATTATAAAAGTTATTTTAATTGTATTCTAAGTGTTTAAAGAGCTAGGTAGAGGCATAAAACACAAAGTCACCCATGTGAAACTTCTGGAGATAAATTTAACAATGAGGAGATCCACCTCGCTGTCCTACACAGGAAAGCATTCCCTCTAAAAACTGGAACAAGAGAGGGATGCCCTCTTTCATCACTACTATATAACATAGTTCTTGAAACTCTAGTCAGAGCAATTAGATGAAAGAAATTAAAGGGATACGGATAGGTAAAGAAGAATTCAAATTAGCACTATTTGCTGACAATATAATTTTATACCTAGAAGACCCAAAAAATTCCACCAGAAAACTTCTAGAACTAGTATATAAATTCAGCGAAGTAGCAGGATACAAAATCAACACCCATAAATCAAAGGTGTTTTGTATCTCAGTGACAAATTCTCTGAAAGGTAAATGAGGAAAACTACCCATTTACAATAGCCTCAAAAAAAAAAAATACTTGGGAATCAACTTAACAAAAGAGGTAAAAGATCTCTACAATAAAAACTACAGAATGTTAAAGAAAGAAATTAAAGAAGACCTTTAGAAGATGGAAAGATCTACCTGTTTTTGGATAGGCAGAGTTAATATTGACAAAAAGATTGTACTACCAAAAGCACTATACAGATTTAATGAAATTCCCATCAAAATTCCAATGACATTCCTCATAGAAATAGAAAAAGCAATCATGAAATTCATCTGGAAAAAATAAGAGACCCAGAATAGCTAAAGCAATCCTTAGCAAGAAGAGTGAAACAGGTGGCATAACTGTACCAGACCTTAAACTATACTACAGAGCAATAATAACAAACAACATGGTATTGGCACCAAAATAGACTTGTATACAGAATAGAGGACACAGAGACTAACCCACATAATTACAGTTATCTATATTAGACAAAGATGCCAAAAATGTACATTAGAGAAAATATAGCCTCTTCAACAAGTGGAGGGAAAACTGGAAATCCATATGTAACAAAATAAAATTAAACTCCTATCTCTCACCATGCACAAAACTCAACTCAATAGTGGATCAAGGACCTACGAATTAAACCAGAGACACTGTGTCTATTTGAAGAAAAAGTAGGCCCAAATCTCCATCATGTTGGATTAGGCCCCAACTTCCTTAATAAGGCTCCTATAACACAAGAATTAATATCAAAATCAATACATGGGATGGATTCAAACTAAAAAGCTTCTTCTCAGCAAAAGAAACAATCAGAGAGGTGAACAGAGAGCCTACAATTTGGGAACAAATTTTTACCATACACACATCGGATGGAGTACTAATTTCGAGGATATATAAAAAAAAAACTCAAAAATCTTAACACCAAAAAAGCAAATAGCCCAATCAATAAATGGGCCAAGGAACTGAATAGACACTTCTCAGAAGAAGATATACAATCAATCAACAAATATATGAAAAAAACGTTCAACATCTCTAGCAATTAGAGAAATGCATATCAAAACTACTCTAAGATCTCATCTCACTCCAGTCAGAATGGCAGCTATTATGAATAGAAACAACAATAAGTATTGGCGAGGATGTGGAGGAAAAGGCATATATTGTTGGTGGAACTGCAAATTGATGCAGCCAATATGGAAAAAAGTACAGAGATTCCTTGGAAAATTGGGAATGGAACCACCATTTGACCCAGTTACCCCCTACTCCTCCATCTATACCCAAAGGACTTAAAAACAGCATACTACAGGGACACAGCCACATGTTTACAGCAGCACAATTCGCAATAGCTAAATTGTGGAACCAAACTAGATGCCCTTCAGTAGATGAATGGATAAAGAAAATGTGGTATATATACACAATGGAATATTATTCAGCATTAAAAAGGAATTAAAATGATGGCATTTGCAGGTAAAATGGATGAAGTTGGAGAATTCAATGCTAAGTAAAGTTAGCCAATCCCCAAAAAACAAATGCCAGATGTTTTCTCTGATTTAAAGAGGCTTATTCATAATGTAAGTGGTAGGGATGGGCATGGAAGGATTAGATGAATTCTAGATAGGGCAAAGAGGAAAGGGAAAGGAAAGAGAGGAGTGGGGTGGGAGCATATGGGTAGGAAAGACAGTGGAATGAGATGGACATCATTACCCTAAGTACATGTATGAAGACATGAATGGTGTGACACTACTTTGTGTACAACCAGAGATATGAAAAATTATGCTCTACATGTGTAATACGAATTAAAATGTATTCTGCTGTCATATGTAACAAAGATCCACCCTATTACTTGAAACTTATTGGGGCATTGTTTGCATTTTTGTTCAGGATGCTAAACATCACTGAAAAGTGATAACAAATCAAGTCAGGTTAATTTACAATCTCAAGGCTAACTGATATTACATTAAACAGATGATCAACCATCAAAATTACTACAGCAGAGGTTTATTTTCCAACTTATATTTTTTGGTCTTTGAAATATCAAATATGCACTCCCACGGAGAGACAAATGTTGATATACAGAATCAAGGCTGTCATTAACATGGACTGAAAGCAAATTTTACAAGGATTCATTACAAATTTAATCCTTCCTAAAATTCTGATTAAACAGGGCACTGACAGGTTGCTTGATTCTGGCAGATTTGGTTATTGATTATTGACCTAAGAATTGCAATTTCTGATGTTTGAGCTTGAAATTTGGGGTTTCCAAGTTTGTAGCTTCCAAATACAGGAATTCATTTCTCATGTGCTTTATTCAAATCAATGTTGTTTACTCACTTCTAACCCAATACAGGCTGAGAACTGTCACCTAAAACACTGTGTTCCTTTTTATTAAAGAGCAAAAACCACAAGGATGCTTAAAAAAAAAAAAAAACAATGAGTTTTCTTTTTTTAATGGATGGAATTAAAGGCAGCTTAAATATTGAAAAATAAAAGTTCAAATTTAGTGAACTTAAAGGCCTTAGAATAAAAACTATCCTAAATGAAACAAAAAAAGAGTATAAAATAATTAATTATTCATCTGTGAAACAAATTCATGAACCTAATGTATATGTAATTGAAGTCCCTGAAGGAGAGACAGGGTAAACAGAAAAAATATTTGATAAAAAACACGAACCCACAAATCCAAGAAGTTCAATGAATCCCAAATATAAGAAACATGAAGAAAACTATACTATGGTACATTACAATCAAATTTCTCCAAACCAGTGATAAAAAGAAAAATTTTAAAGGAGACAAAGAAGAAAATAATGTTATACAGAGAAGAACAAACACAGAGGGAAAAACAATTCTCATCTGAAACAAACTAGAAGATAGTAGAGGAACATCTTTAAAATACTCAAACAACACTGCCAAAGTAGAATTTTGCATCTGGCAAAAATATCTTTTTTTTAAATATTTTTTTAGTTGTAGATGGACACAATATCTTTATTTTATTTATTTATTTTTATGTGGTGCTGAGGATTGAACCCAGGGCCTCAAGCATATGAGGCAAATGCTCCACCACTGAACCACAACCCCAGCCCGCAAAAAGATCTTTTAAATATGAAGAAGAAATAAAATTGCTAGAAATACAAAAGCTGAAAGAATTCATCACCAGCAAGTCTATGCTACAATAAATGTCACAGGGTATTATTCAGGCAGAAGGAAATGACACTAGATGGAAATGACACTAGATGGAAATACAGAGTTGCACAAAGGAACAAAGAGCACCGGATATGACAACTAAGAGTTTTTCTTAATGTTCAAATCTCTTCAAAAGATAACTGGAACAAGTATAGGCATGACAGAGTAAGGACAAAGAGCACCGGATGTGACAACTAAGAGTTTTTCTTAATGTTCAAATCTCTTCAAAAGATAACTGGAACAAGTATAGGCATGACAGAGTAAGGACATCACCAAATCCATTCCCCCCAAAGCAATTAAGTGCTGGGTAAATGGTGACCATTTCAATGCTCTGAAATTAGATCAAAAGAATGGAACACATTGTAAAGTGTTTTTCAAGAAAACTACTGAAATTCAAGTAAAAATAAAGTTGAAGCTATGACCTTCTTGCCTGAGGTAGTCCCCACGAACTGCTTAGTCCAATCAGAGCATGATGGTGGCTAGTAAAAGAGAAGGCCAATAGCTCTGTTAGTCTGAGGCCACCAACCTATTTGGAGCAAGTTATGTATAAATGTAGACTAGTCTGAATTTAAAAAGGAGTTCTGAAAGGTGAAACAACCACAGGGAGCTTAAAACACTCCAAATATCCTGGACCGACCTTGGTCTGTATATACATGCAGCAGAAAAAGATATAAAGGGACCCAAGTCAACCAACATTTTAAAAGAATCAGAACCTATATATATGTAGAGAGAAATGAGAGAGTCCAGCAAACAATAAAAGAATGAAGTTTAAATCCCAGTCCATATAGAGACCCATCAACAGGGAGTAGAAGCCTTAATGGCTTGAAGTATTTGAGTACAACCTTTGAACAATCCTTGGCTGAATAGTGTATCTCTCTCTCTCTCTCTCTCACACACACACACACACACACAGGATGCCAGTCTCAAAATGAAAACAAAGTGAAATGCTAAATATCTTATTTATATACTCCTCCTGTTTTCATAATAATCCTGCAAGGTCACTAATATATTAAGTATGTAATTAGGGGTTGGAATCCTGTACTATTTCACTGTATGTTCTCAAAAGAGTATATATGTTTTGTTCTCCTCTAACATAAAACTTTACCTTCTTTAAGTAGCAGGCACATGTCAATCAATAAAATAATAAAACCCTACTCTTCCTTCTCCCATACAAATTCAAGTAAGAAAAACAAAAAAAGAAAGAAAAGAAAAATTCCCAACTTACTGCAAGAAGATTCATGATGGTGTGCCCTGTCTCTCCAAACAATGGCTTTCGAAATCTGACACTGAAGAGTGGGCAGGGATAAACTGTGGAAATGAGAAAAGATCAGACTAAGTTAAGTAGTTTAAAATTCTCGGCAAAGAGATACCATGGCTAATATGCTCATTAGAACATATTAAATTTAGGATTCAAAAAGTAGGTAGTATGAGAGCAGATAAATCCTAAGCCAGAGGAAATCTTTTAAATAAAACCAGACTAAGCATTTTGCTGCAGCTATTCCAAAAATGACCAAAAGATCTTAAGAAGCAATCTTCTTCAAACTGGATTGATATGATCCAGGAAACATCTCTCAATTCCTCTGGGCTCAAGAAGTTTAAGAGTTCACTCTTCTATGCCTCCTAACCAGACCCTCCTTAGGACAGCCAATTACCAGGTGATAATACCAGCTTGCTTATCTCTCAAGCTTTGAGGTTTGACATTCTAGTATAAGTCAAGATACACATGTTGCTTCCTCTCATGCAATCCTTTATCTTTCATGCTTCATTTAACTGATTCACGTGACTCCTTCAGATCCATCCAAGAAGTGTTTTTGTCTAACTCCTTCATTCTTCGTCAAGTTAGAGCCCATCCTAAAACTCTCAAAGAATTTAACCTTAGAAACATTTCTATTTTAACACAGTATACCACTGTAATCATGATTCCTATAAATCTTTCTTACAAAGATTCCCAAAAGCCTATAACCAGGTCTTAGCCATTTCAGAATTCTGAGGATTTCTGATACAATGGTAGACCTTTATTAAATTCTTACTGAATGAATGAACTAATGAGTGAAAGAATAAAGTTGACTTTCTGAGTATACAGACTGTTTTATGATATATAAAATAATCTCCAATTTATCAAGCTAGTGTTAACACACAAGGCAAGCATTAAATTATCCAGTTTATAAAAAAAGCTGTCAGAGACCTTGAGTGAGAAACTGACAATCAGAAAGCCCCAATGAATGGCCCATAATTACAGAGCTACTGAGTGAGGCAACCGAAAACCTTATTCAAGTGGTCTGATTCTTAGACTCTGAGAACTTTTAATTAGGTAAAGATATAAAGATTAAAGTAAAGTTTGAATTTAACCTTTAATGTCTTTTTTTTTTTTAATCACAACTCAGTGCACTGCTACAGCCATGGTCAAAGAACTCTTCTTCTGTAGCCCTTACTAATTGAGAATGGCTTCTATACCATAGCTTTCGGCAGCTGTTAGGTTAAAATAAAGTATAATTCATGGGGCTGGAGTTGTGGCTCAGCAGTAGAGAGCTCCTCTAGCATGTGCGAGGCCCTGGGTTCAATCCAGGGCAAAATAAAAATAAAATAAAGGTACTGCATCCAACTACAACTAAAAATAAAAATATATATATATATATATATATATATATAATTCATCATAACTATTTAGCAATAAAGTGACAACAAACAGATTCACCATATACAATAGTTTACCATTAAAAAATTACTTAAGTTCAAAATTAATTTTACTAGAGATGATTGTGTTTTTATCAATAAACCATGAAAACAGTAAATTTATTTATTTGAATGCTGGGGATTCGACCCAGGGGCACTTTATCACTGAGCTACAGTCCCAGTCCTCTTTTTTTGGAATGACAGTGGGAATTCAATCCAGGGCCACTTTATCATTGAGCCACACCCCCAGCCCTTTTTATTTTTTATTTTGAGACAGGGTCTCAGTAAGCTGCTTAGGATCTCCCTATGTTGCTGAGGCTGATCTGGAACTTGTGATCCTCCTGTCTCAGCTTCCAGAATTGCTGAGATTACAGGCATGTGCCATACTTGTCAATTTACAAAGTAATAAATAACCACTGGCTTCTTCATTTGATATTTTCATTCCTTCCTATTATGCCCCAAATAAGTAGAGAGAGACTAGCCAGATTTAGCTTATTTATTTCAAAATACTATTTCTGCTGAATTGTATCATCAAATTAGAAGGGCTCTGAATAGCTTAAGACTTATTAAATCATCATGCCTTGGTTATATGTCTTAGAAGAAAATTTTTTTACTACTTACGTCGATATTCAGCTCCAAGTCTCAACATTAGTCGGATGGGAAACACTTTAGCCCAAGGAGTTTCCCACTTCTGGATAAGAATCCCAAACAAGTAAGGTGGGGTTGGGAGAACTAGGTCTTGCAGTGACTGATAGGTAGATGTCACATATAAAAATCCACCATGTTCTTTACTGCCGAGGAAACTTTGACTGAAGAAGGAATGTCCCAAGTTGCCCACAACATTTCCTAAAACAAAAAGTTCATTATATATTGTTTACTAGTAAATAGATCTTTTCTTGCTGTTTGTTTGTTTGTTATTGTTTTTACAATAATGGAGATTAAAACCTGGGGGCTTTACCACTGAGTCATACTCCAACCCTTTTTTGCTCTTTATTTTAAGACAAGGTCTCACTAAATTGCCCAGGCTGGCCTTGAACTTACAATTCTCCTGGTAGCTGGGATTATAGGCATGTTTCACCATGCCTGGCTTATTTATAATAATTACTTTTTATTGTTATATTTTTTAGTACTGGAGATTGAACTCGGGGCCTTCAACCACTGACCCACATCCCTAGCTCTATTTTGTATTTTATTTAGAGACAGGGGTCTATCTCACTGAGTTGCTTAGCACCTTGCTTTTGCTGAGGCTGGCTTTGAACTCACAATCCTCCTGTCTCAGCCTCCTCAGCCACTGCACTGCATCCAGCTATAATAATAATTATTACCCCAAACTGGGTCAGACATTACCAAACTCTAATTCCCAATCTTTCACTATAAAAGACTCCTGTGTAGAAAACTGGTTGTTAAATCAATGGCATTTATTAAATACAAAAATGTTATCCAATTTTATCAGGGCTTCATGCTGGTGAGCAGGAAATACTTCATATGATCACAGGGTAAAAGGTGGTCTAGTTAAAATCCAAAAATATTGTTGTTAAACTGTATAACTTTACTGTGTGAGATACTTTAGAGGTCTCAGGATAACAATTATTGGCTCAAAGGTCAAGAAAAACTAATTCAGATTAGGTGCCTGGTCTCTCAAAGCTTATATCTCACTGGGTAAATAAAATCAACTCATGAATGTAATAAACTGTCTACAGTAAATGCAGTTATGAGACATTAGGGAAGAAAAGGATTTATGGAGAAGGTAGTACCACAGATAGGATCTTTTCTTTGTAATTTTGATTGAGACAAATATGAAACATAGATGTACAACTTAAAAATTATTTAAACCCATAATAGGCAGTTTTCTCTCTTTTAAATACAAGTGTTATTTATTAAGCACTTTTTAATAGGTTTGCAAGTAAAACAGTAACAAGTATATCAGTCCTTCATTAAGGGGACATTTTCCTCAGTTTAGAATTACAGAGAGACCAAGCCCAGAAGTGCATGCCTGTAATCTCAGTGGCTGAGGCAGGAAGATCATGAGTTCAAAGTCAATCACAGCAATTTAGCAAAGTCCTAAGCAACTTAGCAAGACTCTGTCTCAAAATAAAAAAATATAAAGGGTTGGGGATGTGGCTCAGTGGTTGAGCACCTCTGGGTTAGATCCCTGGTACCAAAAAAAAAAAAAAAAAAAAAATTACAGAGAGCTGTTCAATAATGGAAGAACAGATATGTTCACTAGATAGGTACAATCTTCTTTTGAAAGCTCTTAAAACAAAAACACAAGAAATCCTCATCAGAGAAGTTAATGCTTGCTTTAACAGAAAACTAGAGTTTATATCTATAGACTCAGACTCCTGCTGTGAAGTGGGAATGTTTGTTGATGGTAGGATCCAAAGTAAAGGGAACACCTCCCTATAAAATTTAGAGAAGCTCTTTGGTATACACTATGCTGCCCTGATCATTAACACCTAAATTTTACATTTGAAATAGGACTTTTAAGAATACAGGGGTAGGAGCTGGAGTTGTGGCTCAATGCTAAAGCACTTGCCTTGCACATTTGGGGCCCTAGGTTCGATCCTCAGCACCACATAAAAAAATAAATAAAAACAAAATAAAGACATTGTGTTCATCTATAACTAAAAAAAGGGATAAAAAAGAATACAGGGGTAATATTCTTGCCCAAGCATTAGCCAACTCTGGCTGTACAATTAAGCTGCTGGGCCATATCTATTAAAAAAAAAACAAACAATCCCCATATAAAAGAAACAGTATAGGATTTTGAAGAAAAAAATCTGATTTCAGAGTCACAAAAATATGAGATTGAGTTTGAACATTCACTACTGTAGAATTGAGGCAAGTTAGTTCTGGGAGCACCAACATCTGTGTAGAAATGTGGGAAATTATATTAAATTTCAGACTTCTTGTGAAAAATAAATTATAAAATATATATAAAATACCTAACAGCATTAGCCATACAATGTGTTCCCAAAAATTTTTAACTATTATTGTTCTAATGCAAATATATACATAACAATAACCAAATCTTACAGGATTTCTTTTTCTTTACCAAAAATCATAGAGCAATATTTGTATAAATTTTCATTTTTTCTGGCACCCACTACAGAATTAGGGATAGAGTGGCAGGAACTTTTGGGAGATCAGATCCCCAAATACACCACTGCCTTTTTACTCCCTGCCCCAATCCTATAATTCTAAGATACCATAAAAGATACTTTATACCAATGCAAAATTCAAAAAAACAGACAATTAGAGAGGAGAAAAACCTTACTCAGGTTTGACAGGGGAGGAGGAAAATGGGAGATAAGAGATGGAAGATTTTTTTCCCCTCCACAATGGAAGGTGCATGATAACATTCCTTTAAAGGTCTAGTGATGGCATGCTATGGTTTCAAGATATCCCCCAAAAAACATGTTGGAAATTTAATTCGCAATATAACAGTGTTGGGAGGTGGAGCCTAATGAGATTAGGTCATGATGGCAGAGTGAATGGATTTATCATGGTATTATCATGGGAGTGGGTTTATTTAAAAAGGATATTTTGGGGCGGGGTTGTGGCTCAGCGGTAGACCGCTTGCCTTGCACGTGTAAGGCACTGGGTTTGATCCTCAGCACCACCAAAAAATAAAATAAACAAAATAAAAAGGACATTTGACCCTTTCTTGCTCTTTTGCCCCATCTTTGCCCTTCCACTGCCGTGGAATGACACAGTAAGAATGTTCTTGCCAAATGCCAACCAGTTGACCATTAATTTTTCAGCCTCCAGAATGTAAGAAATAAACTTCTGTTCATTATAATAACCCTAGTCTGTGGTATTCTGTTAAAACAGCATAAAACAGAGTAGGACATAATATACAATTTATGGTTCACAAAGACTGTTCTAGTGAATATACCTCAGGGGTAAAAAGTATGTTGCTTGGTACTCAAGGCATTCATTCATTATTCCTTTGGGATTCCCCTATTAGAGCCTAGAATCTATTACTAGTTATTTTTCCACACATTCTTATTTCCTTTCCATTCCTTTCTGCCATTATCACTTAACATCCTCTTCATTCCATCATACATTCTTCACTACATCCCTTCCCATTATCAAATACATCTTTCATCCTTTAAGTATTTATTTTATTTTTTAATGTGGATCTCCGATGTCAATCTTAATGAATGATTTCGACTATCATTAACTATTTCATACATAAACAAGTAAAATTCCAGAGTTGTAGATAATAGCAAAAATAAAATGCTGAGTATAAAAATTTGATAAGAAAAAAATAAGAAAATTTCATTAAAAGATAATCCAGAGCTATGAACTCAAAAAGTCTGTTATTATTAATTTGTATCAGTATTTCACTGTAAGAACATTCAATACAATGGACCCAATGAACTAATTTATGGAGATATATATTTCTATTGCTCTCTACATATCCCATGCCAAAAGACAAAAGACGTCAACAAATTTAGTTTAAAGGTGTTAACTGGTCTATAATTGGACAACATCTCATTCTAGAAAACAGAATGAGTATTCAATCAATAATTTTCAAAGAAATTTTACGAAGCATTAACCAGGTTATCATCAGAACAATGCAATCGGGAGGTTTACTTTACCAATGAAGAAACTATAGCTCTGTAGTAGAGATGGAGAGACTCCAATGGAATATTACTCAGCCATAAGGAAGAATAAAATGATGGCATTTGCCAGTAAATGGATGGAACTGGAGACTATCATGCTAAGTGAAATAAGTCAATCCCAAAAACCCAAAGGCAAAATGTTCTCTCTGATATGAGGAAGCTAACACACAAAAAAGGTGGGGAAGGGAAGAATAGACATTCATTGGATTAGACAAAAGGGAATGAAGGGAATGGAGGCAAGATGGGTACAGCAAAGAGTAGAACAAATCAGATATAACTTTGCTATGTTCATATATGAATACATGGACCAGTGTTAACTCCACATCATGTACAACCATAAAAACGGGAAGTTATTCTCCATATATTTATAATATGTCAAAACACATTCTACTGTCATGTATTAAGAAAAAAAGAGATAAGTGATTCTCAAAATACACATGGTAAAAGATATGGTAAAGTAAAATCTGGAAAGATTATCTTTCAAACTCCTAGCATTTCCATGAATCACTATGTCTTCCAAAAAATTAGTGTAATTTGAAATTTTCCATTTTAAAATTGTAGCTTAAACTTTATTTTTCAAATGCTTACTAGTAGCTCTCTTTAAATTCAGTTCAAATATAACTTACATACCTATGTGACAACAGCTTGCTTTTGTTTCAAAACACTTTTAAATCCTCACATCAACTCAAATGGAACAATTTCCAAGAAAATGATTCATTTATTTTAAGAAATACTAACAATTCTAAACATTAACATAATTAAAACACAAGCCATCAAAAGAATTTAGACAAGCTGGGCACAGTAGTACACACTTATAATCCCAGCTACTCAGGAAGCTGAGACAGGAGGATCACAAGTTGTTTGGGCAACTTAGGTAGGCCCTGTCTCAAAGTTAAAATAAAAAGGTCAAGGGATGCAGCTCAGTGGTATAGCACTTGCCTAGCATACACAACGCTCTAGGTTCAAGTCTCAGGACTACAAAAAAAAAATTTTTTTTTTAGACAGTTCCTTAGAATTCCTGCAAGGCAATAAACTGCAGTTAAGAAGGAACACATTATAAAAGATTTCAGTTTAGAGCATCTGTGGTTCACCCTGAATTTTAAAAAGCTGGAGAGGCACTATATTACTTCTTTTGGCTCTAAAAAGATTTAGAAAAGATATAGCCGAACTCAAATCTGAATTCAGGTACTTTTCCTCTAAGTGCATGATCATCAA